TGTTTTTCTACCCTTTGATTTTTAATTGGTTTTTCTCTTTCTAAGATGATTCTCTTGAAGGCAGCATAGTGATTATCCTGTTTTCTTATCCGTCCTTCCACTTTCTTGATCTTAGCTGGTGCATTTAAATTATTTACATTCAGAGTCATTACTGGTAAACATGGTGCTGTCACTCATTCATGTTTCTTACTGTGCTGTTCAAGGTATTTTTCTATTCTGAGTTCCTTTTGTTATCAGATTTTCTTTCTGTCTTATTCATTTCTGTAGCTTTTGTGTTTACTGTTTTCACAATTTTTCTTTCTTATTTTGGATAAAAGGCTGTTAACTTTCTTCATGGTTACCTTGTAGTTTATTCCTGTCTTTCTGTGCTTAATTATGCTATATAAAATTTATACCTAGACCAAGAAGCTGTTGTCTGAACAGAACAAGAGAACACTGTAGGATTTTAAATCTAGAAAGGTGTATGCTAGGGCTTGTTTCCTTTCTCCATACCTATTCAGTCTAAATGCTGAGCAAATCATTCGAGAAGCTGGGCTTTATGAAGAAGAATGTGGCATAGAGATTGGAGGAAGATTCATCAAAACCTGTGTTATACAAATGTGTTATGGTATGCACTACCATGCTTGCTGAAAGCAAGGAGGACTTGCGGTACTTACTGCAGAAGATCAAGGGCTACAGCATCTCAATATCAAGAAAATAAAAGTCCTCACCACTGGGCCAACAGACAACATCATGATAGATGGAGAAAAGATTGAAATTGTCAATAAATTCTTCTTAGTTGGATCCTTGGTACCAGCACTGAGGACATCAGGAGACATAAAGCACTGCGAAGTCTGCTATCAGGGATCTCAGGTCCTGAAGAGCAATGATGTCACTTTGAATACTAAGGTGTGCCTGATTAAAATCCTGTTTTTTCCAATCACTTGCTATGCATCTGAGAGCTGAACAATGAATAAAGATGAGAGAAGAAAATCAAGGTCTTTGAGTTGTCACCCTGCACAAGAGCACTGAATATCCCAAAGATTGTCAAAAGAACAAACATGGATGTATAACCACCTCAGATTCTAGAACTGAAGATCTCATGTGAAAGAATTAGTGTGAAGCTGTGAAGTCAGAAGAAAGTCCATGCGAGTGGGAAAAACAGGGGAGAATGTCCTCTCACCACCTTTTCCCTCACCTCTTCCTCATCGGCCTCTCTGCTTCTTACTTGATACTGACAAGCTCCTGCCAAGGACCTGGCATTATGAAAAATCGTGAAGGTCTTAGGAAATGAATGAAAGTCATCCATGCTCGCTCTGGACTCAATCTACTCATGAGACTCTAGAAAGTCCTTTTCAATCTCTGATTTCTATTTTCTGAATTTCCGTGTCCAAATATAGTCCCGTCTGTATTTACTGATGTCTTTGATTGTGCTATGGGTTGATAGAGGCATCAGCCCCTCTCTCCTCTAAATACACACAACACAAATCCATCTCTTCCATCTATTCTCATGCACACAAACTTGGGCAAAATGTAGTGCAGAGACACCTTGTGGGCAGTGGCCATGTGGAATAGAAGCAGGTGAGGTGTCTGAGCCTCAGCCACTGCCCAAGTCACATCTCAGCCGATCGTTAGCTTGGACATGCGGCTGCCAGCAACCTCACATGGGAACGCTGAGGACTTGCCAGAGACAGGGAACTACACTGTCAACTGTACCACTGTTCCCTCTTACTGAAACATCTATAGTGACTGCTGAAAAAGTTACACAGGTATTTTCCTTTAAGTCAGTGGCTTTCCAACGCATTGGCTGTGGTCTGTAATAAGAAAGTCATCTTACATAAGGCCAGTCAGCCCGATGAATATGTCTATCACAGTTTTACAAGGTAACAGATGTCAGTGTAGCAGTAGCAGATTCAACAAAGAACAAAACCCCAAACTCAAATTCACTACTGTCAAGTGAGAACCAACCCCTCACTGACCCTCCAACAGGTTTTCAGGAGGCTGTAAAATTCACAGGAGGAGAATGTCCATCTTTCTCCCACTGAACTGCTGGTGGATTCGAATTTCTAAAGAGGCACCACTTTGGGTTTGCAATGTGACTCCTTATGTCACCAGGCTCCCTAAGCAAAGCCTGAGAAGGTGTAAAATCCTAGCTCTCAATGGAGAACACATTGTGCTCAGGGAACTAGATCATAAGCAAATAAAATCTAACAGAGGCAGCTCCTGGGTTATGAATGCAATTCATATGTTCATATACAGTGTATCTTTAAGTTGCATTTGTGAATCATAACAAGTATATACAGTTCTTATTCAACCTTGCTTTAGTGCAAGTCTTTTCAATGATTAAAGTCTGCTCTCAAAGCAGGTAAAGGTGACTGTGCTGAAAAATGTGGTAGGTGTAGAGGTTGGTTGTTTCATGAGAGTAAATTTCCATCACATTAAAGGGCAGGGAGGCATAGTCTGTCAGTCGCACTGTAACCTGGGTACTGCCTGCTAGCTGCAGTAGGTCAGACGGTGGCAAAGCAATAGAGGAAAAGCAAATCGGACCCTGCGGAGGGCAGACTGGAAAGGCCAGACTGAGACGATGACACTGAACACAATCCAATGGGGGACAATTAGTGGTCCATGTGGAAACCCGGGGTGAGGAAAATGAAAACCAGCAAAACCAATGTGCTGGGGAGAGTTCCAGAAAATGTGTGTTCTGGTCTCATTTCTGCCTCAACGAGTTTAGACAGGTAGATTCCCTCTCTGAGCCTGTTTCCTACTGTTCAAGCTTAATGAGGCTTGGTTGACCCTCTTCAAGGTCCTTCTTCTAACCTTTCGGGTCTCTGTATCCTAAGGAGTCTTTCATGTTTTATTGGGGCAGAAGTATATATATGTATATACACATATGTGTGTATGTGCATATGTGTATGTATGTATGACATACAAAGACAGTAGAACAAAATTTCAGAAAACACTAACTGCATACAAAACGCTCTAATAGTTTCCACTTGTTCTATTTCATTGTCTTAAAATGCTGGTTGCAGAAGATGGTGCCGAAAGTGAAAAATTTAAAATATTTTTTAAAGTAAATTATCTTAAAAAAGAAGAGTGGTGTTGCCTCTCTCAAAGTGGAAGCCAAAGAAAAGGCATTAAAGGCCAAGAAGGCAGTCCTGAAGGGCATCCCCAGCCAAAAAAAAACAAACCCCAAGATAATCAGTACATCACCCACTTTCCAGTGGCCTAAAACGCTGAGATTTTAAAGGCAGTCCATATACCCCCAGACGAAACAAGCTTGACCACTCTACCATCATCAAGTTTCCCCTGAGCACTGAGTCAGCCATGAAGAAGATAGAAGATAACAACACACTTGTGTTCATTGTGGATGTCAAGGCCAAGAAGCACCAAATTAAACAAGCTATAAAGAAGCTCTATGACACTGATGTGGTCAAGGTCAACACCTTGATCAGGCCTGATGGAGAGAAAGAGACCTATGTTCTACTTGTTCCTGACTATGATAATACTTTGGATGTTGCCAACAAAATTGGGATTGTCTAAACTGAGTCAAGCTGGCTAATTCTATATACAAATTTTTCTCACCAAAAAATAAAATAAAATGCTGGTTGCATCCCTTGAGTGGATATCACTAAGCACTAATGGTCTTCAGGATTTTTTCATAACACTGACATTTTCTTGGTTTTAGAGCCAGTGTAAGCAAAATCACATCCCCATGCACTTGAGAGAAAAGCTGGCTGAGTCCTGGAGCCTGCCTCTGCCTCCAGCTTCCCAGAAATCCATGTGCCCATCTGAGGCCTGCAGCACCACAGAGGAGGCCAAAGTGCCAGGTGATAGCTCTGACCTCCAAGCCACTCTTCTTTAAGATAATTTACTTTTTAAAACATTTTATAATTTTTTTGTTGTTGTGTCTCTTAGCTCATTGCTTTTGAGTTAGAATCGACTCAGAGCTGGCCCCACGAGTTTTCACAGGCTGTAAAGTGCACAGAAGGGGAGCTCTGGTGGCCTAGTGGCAAGAAGCTGCACTGCAATCCCAGAGACGCACAGTTCAAATCCACCAGATGCTCTGCCGGGGAAGGAGGGACAATCTCCTCCTGTACCAGTCAGATCTGATTTGACGGTACACGCACACATATAAATAATAAAAATAAAAATAAAAAAATTTAAAAGTGCACAGGAAGAGACTGCCCATCTTCGTCGCGTGGAGCTGCTGGTGGATTTGAACCGCTGGGAAGACACCACCGTTGGATCAGCAGTACAAGTCTCTATCAACTATACCAGCAGACCGCCCTTATTTTTTTATTACAGATTCATAAAATTCCTGCAGAGACTGTCAGGGAATCCTCATATACCCCAGACCCAGTTTACCCTATTAGCATTTTCTATTCATATGGCATATGTCACAATTAATATTGAGAAACTATTATTCAGTAAAGGCAATATTTTATTCCAATCTCTACATCCTCCCCTAACCCCTAGGGTCCATTTTCTGCCCCAAGATCCCAACCAGGATGTCACCTTCTATTTAATAGCCTTCCTTTCTTGGGTTGACAGCAATTTTCTGAGAATTTCCTTGCTTTTGATGGCCTTAACGGTTTAGGGGATTGCTAGTCGGGTATTTTGTAAATGTCCCTCCATTGGGAAATGTCTGAGGCTTCTCTCCTGATTAGGCTGAGGCTATTAACTAGCTAACCACACTGGGACCAAGGTTTCTTATCTATGTGCCGGACATGGCAATGAGCATTTAAATCCTTACATAAACACGGAATGGCTCATCAAGCACCAGGGCTTCGTTTACCCTTGATAGATGGGTGCTGGGAGGTGAAGGTGCAGGTAACGCTAGACCAACAGCACAGCCTCGCTCCACTTGGTTCTTAGACTCTAAAATGTTAGAAAGAGGGAGACACTGAAGACTTCAGTTAGTTATCTCAGTAATAAATGTCACAGGAAGAAGGCCGTGAGCTCTCAAACTCTCCTGCATTCATTTCTTTCCTGCTTCTAAACCCCTTCTCTCCTTCCTTCAGCAAACTGTATGGAAATGGATTTGAAGAAATACAAAGTCATGCGTTCAATGGGACGAAGCTGATTTCACTGTAAGTACGTGCTTCTATGCCTCGTGAATAATAATGAGCCATTACTCTAGTTACCAGATGACACTCAGTCTTCAGCAGCTAACTCAGGGCACAAATAAACTTTCAAGTGGTTAGTCCCCGGTGACTAGCCAAGTTACTAGGCAACAGGCTTGGCTGAAAATCCCAGAGCACCTTGATTTCAAAGACAGATGCGTCTGGATACATTGAAGTTGACAGTTTGCTGAAATATTCAGCACCTTCCTTTTTGCCTCTTCTGTTTCAGAGCCTTCCTCTGTAACCCCCTCACTCAGGTTGATGGCGTTTTAGAGGTAGCAAGGTTTCCACAAAAGTCGTCTCCCTGGCCCCACAGGAGAGCGAGCCAGTGACACCACTTCTCAGCCGAATCAGCCACCACTCCACGCGGAGTGCCATCGCTGTTCTTATGGGAGGAGCAAAAGCCTCGAGCCCACTTTCCACAGTAGTGGGAGATGTCACCCTCTTTCCACAAGGGTGGGAGATGTCCCCCACTTTCCACAGGGATGGCAGATGTCCCCCGTTAGCAGTCCTTAAGGGGGTGAGTGGAGGTGCCGCCTGCCTCCTCCTGTGTTCCTTCTTTGAAAGCAGTGACACGTTCACAAAGTTAGCCAGAGCTGAACCTTTTTAAGTGCAGGGTGAAGTGGCGAGCACTCTACAGCTGTGCCTAATAAAACGTCAGCACACCCGGAAAGTGTAATTAAAGACTACAAGGGGGCTGCTTTTATACCAAGGAGGTCATCTTACCCTGCTGAGTTAGTGTGTCTTAAACTTAAGGATGCGTAAGGATCACCTGGGTAGCAGGAAAGCATTACCAGAAGAGAGTTCAAACGCTGCAAGCTGGGACTTAGGTTACTGTTGCGGGCCAAGGCCCTGAAGATCTGAACCTTGCCTTATCCTGCGCCATGATCCGATCTGTCATGCCCAAGCCCAGGATTGCCGTCACCATTTCAGTCCACCTTCCTGAGGATCTGTCCCTCTTCCACGGCCTCTATTTTTCTCTGAATAAAGTCGTTTTCTAAGGACTGGCCCATCCTATCAGGACTAAAGCATGTCCAGAGTGAGACAAAGTTACACCATTCTTGCCTTTGAATAGCATCTTGATTGCACTTCTGCCATGACATGTTTGGTTTTGGGCAGTCCATGAGGTATTCTATTCAATACTCTTCACTAACACTACAATTCAAAGGCATCAATTCATCTCCAATCTTCATTATTCACTGCTTAACTTCAGCGTGTTTACAAAGAAATGGAAAACACCTTCTATTAGATCAGATGCACCTTAATCTTTACACTGATACCCTTGCTCTTCAGAACTTAAAAAGAGGTCCTTTACAGCAGATTTTCCCACTGAGATTCAGCTTTTGATCTCTGGCTGCTGCTATCATGTAGCGTATACTGATTGTGAATCCAAGTCAAATGCCTTCACTGACAACTTCAGTCTTTTCTCCATTTATCCTGATGCTGCCTACTGGTCCGGTGTTGGGGATTTTTGCTTTCTTGATGTTGAGATATTATTCATCTTGTAGGTTTTAAGTTTTTATCTTATTCGCTAAGTGCTTCAAGTCCCCCTCACTTTCTGCAAGCTAGGTCGTGTCATCTGCATAACACAGGTTGTAGATGAGTCTTCCTCCAGTCCTAATGCCACATTTTTTTTTTCATGAAGTCCAGGTTTCAAATTATCTCCTCAGCCTACAGGTTGAATAGATATGCAGAAAGAATATAACTCTAATGATTATGCTTTCTGATTTTAAAACATGCAGTTTGAATGTCTTCATGGTACATACACTTGTTTTGCATGAGCACAATTAAGTGCTCTGGGATTCCCATTCTTTTCAACGTTAGCTGTAATTTATTATCCATACAGTTAGATGCCTTTGTATAATAAAAAAAAACACAAGTAAACCTCTTTCTGGTATTCTCTGATATCTATCAAGATCCATCTCTTATCAGCATGATATACCTTGTTCCGTGACCTCTTCTGAATTCAGCCTGAATCTCTGGCAACTTTATTGATATAACAATCTTGATCAAAATTTTTCTTACATGTGATATTAATTATATGGTTCAGTAATTTCTGTGCTTTTTTGGATTCCCTCTATTTTGAAAGGCAAAAACCATGGATATCTTTTAAGTCTCTTGGCCAGGTAGCTGTCTTCTCAATTTCATGGCATAGACTAATGAACACATACAGAACTACATCTCTTTGGCAAAAACACCTGGATTGGTATTCCATTAATTCATGGGACTCTCTTTTTAAAAAAATGCCTTTATCTTGAACATCTGCTTTCAGCACTATTGGTTCTTGATCTTACATTTCCTGAAATGGTTCAATGTCAAACACTTCTTTCTGGCAGAGTGACTCTATGTGTAACCTCCCATCCTCTTCTGATGCTTCCTGCATCATTCAATATTTCGCCTATAGAATCCTTCTGTATAGCAACTTGACAGAGATAGTCCTCTGGGATTTCAGAGGTAAAGGCAAGAGAAGTTAGATGTACTCTCACAAGAGAGGTAGATTTTGGCCAGATTTACACTGTCATGTTCTTGTTATTGTTTACCGTAGAGTTGGAACTACTATTACCTGTCACGGAGAGGAGGAAACCTCTCTCTACGGGGCAGAGGGCAGCAAGAATGGCCCAGAGGAGGAACCAGGGGGTGTGTTCAAGGAACAATAAAAATATCTTTCAGAAAGCTCTAGATGTGAGTTAAAGATAAGACAGGAAGGACTTTAAATGGCAAAGTAAAGATTTTTTTTAATTCTTTCTTTGCAGAAAATGGGAATCCACTGAAAGTTCTGGGGTGGGGAAAGAAATTGCAGAGTGATGCTTAAAACCCATCACTGTAAAGTATACCTGTGCATAAGGTGTTCAACACTGTCATCTGTATAAAGACAGACTGCCGTATCTTCCTCCAAAAGAACCACTGGTGGACTCAAACCCTCAACTTCTCAGTTAACAGATGAGAACATAACTATGGTATTATTAGGGCTCTATAATGCAGTATTTGAAGAAAAGTAGCTTTATTTGCTCAGAGTGGACTTGAAGCATTCACTGATGAAAATCAGATACTGCAGCTTTCAGTATGGTTTATACTTCAACATTAAAGCAAAAAGCTTTACAACTGGACCAACAGGCAATATCATTGTAAACTGAAAAAAAATATTGAAGCTGTCAAAGTTCTCATTTTACTTGAGTCTACAGTCAACACTAATGGAAGCAACAGATTAGAAATGAAACATTTTGGACTGGGCAAATCTGCGGCAGATCTCTCAAAAGTGTTAGAAAGCACAGACGTCACTTTTGAGAACTGAGGTACACCTGGCCCACACTGTAGTATTTTGTCTGTATACATATAAAAACTGCAGGAAGCTGCACTGCAATCCCAGAGGTATGTGGTTGAAATCCACGGTTCAAATCCACCAGATGCTCTGCTAGAGAAGAAGGGTCAATCTCCTCCTGTACCAGTCAGATCCTATTTGATGGTACGAAATAAAAACTAAAAAAAAAAAACTAAACTGGGCAGAGACTAAGGAAGACTGATGCCTTTGAATTGTGAACTTGGTGACATGGGTTGTCAAAAGGACAAAGAAATCTGTCTTGGAGAATAACAGTCAAAAAGGTCCCTGGGGGTGAAGATGGCATGACTTCATCTTACATAATTCGAGTATGTTATTATCAGAAAGGGCTCATTCTGTGGAGAAAGATAGCAGAGTAAAGTGGGGAGGAAAAAGAGTCTCTCCAAGGTGGCTCAACACAGTGGCTGCTCCAGTGGACTCAAACACAGCACATCTCTGAGGAGGAAGCAGGGAACCAGTGCTCTGTTCTATTGAACACAGGGTCACCAGGAGTCAGAACTGACTTAATATCACCAAACAACAACCTGTTAGCAAGAACAGAGGCCAGAGGCACACCAGGCCATGTTCCAATGGGCAGCACGGAGCCATGAGATTACAGTGGAAGTCACCTCCATTAGATGCACAGTTGAAAAACAGGAGGAATGGATGTCAAATTGACAGAACACAGGACATTCTCAGAGAGTGATAAGAGAGAAAAAGGAGTGAGGTATATATTGTAGACATTTCGAGCACAGCTGGTGGGGAAAGTAGCATTGTTATTTACTGATGTCAAGAGGTAACCAGAGCATATCTGGGTAAGAATGGAAGTAACAGAAGCAAAGCTGTAAGACTCAAGAGGCCCATTACTGTCCTGGGCCTCCCTTCCTCGTCTTTAAAATGAGGGGTCTAGAAGAGGTAACTCTATGCCCCTAAAGTGGAACTACCTTTGTAGAATGCCATCTGGGGTGCCAGTGATAACCCAGGTCTGGATGCACAGCTGGTGATAGCTATGTCCAGAGCTAGGAGGACCTAGAACAGGCTAAGGTTAAGGACAGAGACTTGAGAATCATCTGCAAAGAACAAAGGCTGAAGTCCTTTTGGATGTGATCACCTGAATGAGGAGAGAAACAACAATAAAGTTGGTGGGAAACAAGCAATGAGGAAAATCCTGAGTAAAGGCAGTGTCGGGAGGACAGCCCCTGTGCATCTTAGGAAAGGCAGGAAACCATGGCTTCAGGGAGGAGGCCAGGGTCGGCGGTGTCTTAGCCGCTGCAACGTGGGTACAGATGCAGGGAGAAAAAAATTCTGCGTGCTCACCTTCACGACCCGTGTTACATTATTGTGGGAAAGAGGAAATCAAGAACATAAGTCAGTTGGTAAAAAAACACAGATTGCACTCAACAAATAGTACTAAAATGCCTCCAACATGTTGGGCACTGAGTCTGCATTTTGAAAGTGAACACAGCTTCTGCCTTCAAAAAGCTTCCTTTCTCACGGAAGGAAAGTACAAAACAGCAACTAGCTAGGTAAGGAGACGTTCTGCAAGTAGTGATATACAGTACAAAAGAGAACAGAGTTGGCCTCCCTGAGAAAAGCACTAAGGGATGGCCTCACTAAAGGCCTGGGATTTATGCTGAACCTCAAAGTTGGCAGGTAGTTGACTAAGGTAGGAGTGATGAGAAGGGCATTGTATACAGAAGGAGTGATGCTGTACAAAGGTCCTGGGGTGAGAAAGAGAAGCTGACAGAGCTCAAGAGGAGGCAAGTACAGTAGAACTTTGCCAACGAGAGGAAGATGGTGAGAGACAAATACGTAGGTGGTGGATCTTCTTTCAGGGCCATTGTACTCATGATAGAAAGCCAAAACCGTTGCCACAGCGTAAATTCTGACTCACAGTAATCCTGTATGACAAAGGAAGTCAGCCCCCGAGGGTCCCCAAGGCTGTATTGGAAGCATTTTTCTCTCATGGTGCCGCTGGTCAATCTGAATGCGCTGAGCTCTTGGTTAACAGAAGAGTGTTTTATCACAGCATCACCAGGGCTCCTTTTGAGGATGCCCCTACCCAGTGTCAAGGAGTTGCACCGGCAACCTAAATGCATGTGGTTTAAATCCACCAGCTGCTATGCAGGAGAAGGATGGGCAATCTCCTCCCCGTGCAAGTCACGGCCTCTGAAAACTTGCTGGAAAGTCAGCTGTGAGTTGGTTCTGGCTCTATGTCACAAAACATAGTATGGGGTTTGAGGGAGGGGTGAGTGAAGGAAATGGGGAAGATCCGGGGCAATGGTGAGCATAGTTCAATATTTACTAATTTTATAAAGTATAATGAGTGGGCATGATTGTATGAAACACAATGTGAATGAAGAATAGTATGAAACACAATGTATACACTGTGTAAGCAAACAAATATGAAATAAAAATTTCTATTTCTTTAAAAAAAGCCCAAAGCATAGTTGGGTTGTGAGAATTCTGTTGTAAGTTGGGAAGGCAAAGAACAGAAGTAGAATTCAAGATTGTCAAACAGAAACGTTAAACTCATGCAGTCTAGTCTAGTGCGTCTTCCTCACCCCGGGCAGAACAGTGACACAGAAGCCCAGCAAAATTCTCAAGCACCCTCCTTGTTAACTGGGAGGGGGGAAAGAAATTAGGTGCTTCTGGTCTCACTCGGCACCCTCCAAGAGCCCAGGAGTCAGTTCTCACCAAGCCAGAGCCTCCCAGCCTGGAAAGCTTCAAGTGCAGTTTGGGACTTCTCCCAGAGAGCATCAGAAGTCCACCTACCTGTGATGCTCACCAGAGGGCCACCTCACCTGGGAGAGTCCCCAGGAAGGGAAAGTATGTGGATTGTAATTACTTTTTTCCACCAAGTTACACCTGCAAAGTCATCTGCCTACAGAAAGATCAGAGTTTTAATAAAACACATGAAACGTTCTGTCATGCAATTTGAACAATTAATTTGGCCTGGCTGTCACAAGGATTATGTGCCCGATGAGGCTGGCTTTGACGGTTTATGGCCATAACTAAACACAATGGAAACAGACCGAAGCAAGAAGAAGAGCCATAGAGATTTGAAGAGGAAAATTTCTTTTGATTCTGATTTTAAACAGCAATTGACTCTGACAACCTCATCTCTTTGAAAATGGAAACAGACCCAGGGGATGGGGCACTGTGAGGTTGACGGCTGCATGCTGATGAAAGGTCTGAGGTTTTTCCAGGAAAACACTTAGTGGAAACATGTGGAAAACAGCCACCCAGGGAGTGAGATGCAGGCGCCTCGGCAGGTCTCAGATGGCGGGTGTGATTTGGAGACAAGCAGAAGGACGGTGAAGATGATGTGAAGTAATGAGAGGAAGGCAGGTGATTACTCAGCATCTTGCCAGGGGTGAGGCGGTGGCTGTTTTTTCAACGGCTTGATGTTCCATGTCACTGGTACAGAAAGACCACGCTCCCTGCTGGAAAGCATCACCAAAATAGTGAGCGTACACCAAGCTCAGGATCCAGAGTTTTAAGAACAGAGTGTTCAAAGTCAGGCTTGGGCCCGGGGACACCTCTCCTAACTCTGTTGTCTACCTGGAGCAGGATCTTGGCATGGAAATACCAGCATCAGGACCCACTCGTGGTCCACTGAGAGCTCTCCACTCCAAGGAGGCTACCAGCAGGACCAGGCTGAGCAGGAAACTTGAGCTGATGTGGACAAAAAGGAAGAGAAACACTATGGTTGCCACTACTGTGGGTGTTTTTGGATTTCACCATAGCCTTGAAAATAGTGGTCTTCAACCTTTAGTTTCCCCTACACACACACACACACACACACACACACACACACACACACACAGAGAGAGAGAGAGAGAGCCCTGGTGAGGATCACAGAAAACACAGACAGCAGGACACCCAGTGTACAGTGCTACTCAAGTTACTCAAGCTACTGAAGACAGGTTTGGAAGCAGGAGTGGCATCCACTTCCCAAACAATATGCCTCGGGAAACTCTACGAACTTTGAGAAACGACGATAGTTACAGAAAGGCTTCAGGTCTTTTGTTTATAGATTCACTGTGAGTCGTGCTCAACTTGACAGCAATCAACAACAACAACAACAATACTCAAGCTGTACGCATCTCCTCCTCCTCATCTACTGAGAAATGTATGTTTAAAGCAAAAGAATGCTAGTAGCATTATGAAAGGGATAGCATTGAACAGACACTTTTCGTTCTCGTTTAAGTATTTACAAATCTAGGCATATCTTTCCTAATAATTCAAACAAAACTCTGCAGACTGTACAAAGTCAGTATGTCTGAGAGCCACTGCTACAGAACAGGAAACCCTTTGGACTCTGGTCAACCCAAGCAGCATGCAGTCCTAGCTCTACCATTTGTTTCTCAGTGTCTGCCCCACCTACAGGACTTTATCTCGCCTTCAAGCTCCTGACTGCCTGTAGCTTCAGCCTTGCACACTGAGGTGCACACCACACACTGAGTGGCATCACTCTTGGAGTTTCTCGGTCAAAAACCTAGACCAGAATCCAGAAACCGAAATTCCAGCGGAGCCAGGAGCTTCCTTTGCCTGACAGAGTTTCCTCTCAATTTGTGGCTTAGTGCAGGTTTTCCGGGTTCAGAACTTGACCTGTTGCATGGGCCGGAGGTTGTTCATTTTAGCTGCTCATTAGAACCATCTGGAGACACAGTCAATCCAGACTCTCTGGGAGTGAACCCCGAACACTTGATCTTTGTCAAGACAGTTCCTCAGATGGTTCCAATGTAGCACCAGCACGGCTGAAGACCACTGGTTTAGGTGAGCCTATACCAAGGACGACTGAAACCCCCACAGAGAGAACACCATTCCGGGAAACCTAGGGGAAATTAATTCTCTTCATGGCAAGCAGTGGAATCTTTCAGGGTGACAGAGGCCTTTTGGAATGACCTCACCGTGGTGGAGACCTGAGAGCCAATATATCTATTTCCAGGAGATCAGGATAATGAATGTGGAAAAGGGGAGGCCACAGAGATAATTAGCTGTCCCGGCTGCAGCCTCCGACTCCACCTGCATCGTACACCGCCCACTGTGTCGGTGGTGCGGCCTGCTTTGGAGAGGCAGCTCATGGTCCAGGAGGAAGGCAAGACCACATCAGGACCTGACTCTGGGGAAACTTCTGGAAGAAGACAGAGCATTCAGGGAAGATGAAGGGAAAGGAACAGCAATAAAGATAGAGGTAAAAACTGAAGTCAATGGTCAAGAACAAATTTTGTGACCAGGCGAGAGGTGGGATGGTCCTCTACTCATGAAGGGTTTGAAGGGGCATTTCATTTGTTAGATGGAACATGGGGACTTTGGAGTAACACTTCCTTTGTTCCAGGAGAGGAAGGGATGAGTCCTTCAAGTTGTAGGACCAGGGATCCCACTGACAAGAGGTGGAAAACTGCAGAGAAAACGTGATGACAAACCCACGACTAACTACACAATTTGGCCAAGGACTGTTGTGTCTCTGCTTCAGCCTTACAGCCTTACTTCAGGGTATCCTGCAAGGCGACCCAGAGTGTGTGTTCCGAGATGTGACTGCTTACACTACCGGCCGTGGACACTGTACTAAGGAAGCTGTCCTTCCCCGCAGGGAGCTGAAGGGAAACGTGCGCCTACGGAAGATGCATGATGCAGCCTTTCAAGGGGCAGCCGGGCCCAACAGCTTGTGAGTACAATGGGGCCTTATGTGCCCTACGTGTCCAGCAGACCTGCTTGGGGGCCCCCTCCACTCTCCATCCAGGCCAGTGTACGTGGGACTGGCCTCTGCATCCAAAAATGCTGAGGATGGAGGGCAGCCCGGGCTGTTGGCAGAGAAGGTCAACCCATATGTCAATGCCCTTAGGAGCCCACAGCCAGTGAGCTGACTGTCCTCTGGCACTTGACTGGATGAGGACGTGAGCGCAGAGGGAGGTGACCTCAGTTAGTGAGGATTTGGTGGAAGGACATGCGGGACAATTAGTTTGAACAGGACACAGAAATGCTAGCCTTCTGACAAAGCCTTTGGGACCCTGAAACATCCACTAGAAACCACAGACAGCCATCGTGGCACGTAACAGGGCCCAGGTGTGCCGTGTGCGGTGTGTGCGCGCGCGCGCACACACACACACACACACACATCCATCACTCGGTACACTGTTGCTCATTCAACACACAGCAACTGAGAATGGTGTATTTGAGGAACTGTAAGGAGGCCAGCATGGTGGGTGAAAAACAAGGCGAGACAGACTCTCAGGACAGAGGTGTTAAAACCAGGTCATGTGAGACTCTGGGGAGCCCTGTAAGGCCCTTGTCTTTCCTCTGAGTGGAGACGGAGGGTTCTGCAGAAGAAGGCCATGACTGACTCCCTTCTTTTCTTGCTATCCTAGCCCCATGAGACTGCCACACAAATCTGATCACTTTCTTCTTCGCACCTCCATCAACCCAGCAATCTGTGCACCACCTGACTCCTCCCTGCTCTCAGCTCTCTGCCCCACCACTACTGATTCACAAATATGTCTACTTAGCTCCCACCACCAACAGCTTCTGAGTTATCAACTTAGTCTCAACAACAACAAAAAAGTTTTAAAAACCCAACTCATTATGTTGGAGCCAGGGCATAGCAGACCCTCCAGCAGGTTTTCAGAGTCTGTAAATCCCACAGAGCAGATGGCCCACAACTCCCATTCCTGACTGGCTCCCTCATTCTTGCCAGCATCAACTCCTGATGCTGCCTACCTCCCAACTCCTTTCACGAGAACCCCGGGACCAGACCTATATTCCTTACTTCCCACGCAGCTGTTACTCCTCCTCCAAGAAAGGAAGTGTCTCTAAAAGTGTCCTCTCAGTCCACACCAACAAACTATTTCCCTCACTGGTCTGTCACTGAGATTCAAAACTTAATACTAGAGATTCCTCTCTTTGTAATGAGGTTCTGCCATTTCTACAATTCTTCCATGATATTCTCCCTGTTCAGATGTGGAGCTCTGGTGGCCCGGTGGGTAATGAGCTTTGCTGCTAACTAAACAACAGTGGTTTGAATCCACCAGCTGCTCCTTGGGAGAAAGATGGGCGGTCCTCTTCCACATGATTTGCAGTCTCTGAACGCCTGCTGGAAGGTCAATGCCACAGCAATGAGTCGGTTTTTAGAGACCAGTTTTGGGTTTTGGCTTTTTTCTGTTCAAGTTTAAAAATCACAAAGAAAAATCAAGGGCTTCAAAGAGTCTTCCAAATATCTACCAAGCAGTGAGAACACTGAACGCCCACGGGGCCCAGGCCACAGAAGCGGCCAAAGTCTGGGGCTCTGAAGTGGGGGCATTAAATCAAATCCTCCTGCCTTGATTATCCCACCAAGAACCGACATGATCTTCACTCCATGGTGCCAAGTTCACACATCCATTAACTACCCACCGATTCCCTCTGTATGGTAGGTACTGAGTACTGAGGCAGACGGCTGGGGGCAGGGGGGAAGGGGGGCTCTGCTGCTGAAGAAGTTTCAGGGCACTAGCAGCAGCCATGAGAAGATGGACAGAGTTTTTAAATGTCCCACTGACTCTTCCTGACGTTTAACCGAGCTGGCCTCTTCTGAGGCATGCCTCGAGTCTGGTGATACCAAAGTTTTCAGGACTTCAATGACGAAGCCTGGCTTCTCCATACAGCCCTGATAGCTGGTCAAGCATGTGCTGGTTTGGGGCAGATGACTCCAGCTTGCCTTTAGAGAGTGTGCATTCTACTTCCCAGGCAGATGGTGGCAAATGCCACCCAGCCCAGCAGACTGTGATCGCCTGGCCAGCCTGTGTCCCCTGACATCTCCCTGGCTGGGCTGGCTCAAAGACCGGGGCATCAGAAGCCCTGAATATTTCCCCCCGATTTGTTATGTGCCAGTGATAGCTGACACTCCAGCAGGTTTTGGGAGGCTATAAGCCACTTGGGAAGAGACTGCTCATCTTTCTCCCTCAGAGTAGTTGATGGATTTGAACCACGTGCATTTGGGTTGGCAGCGCAATTCCTTACTACTAAGCCACCAAGCTGCTATCACTATATATGCCCACAGCTGGGAAAAGAGAAAGGGAGGTTCAAAAGGAAAGGGGAGAGAAAGATAATGTTAACAAATAAATAGCAGGTTCCAGAAGGGATACTTTACCTTGAAACAAATGGGAAAGAAACGTAAGAAACATGGGATAGTGTTTATGCATTCAAATCGTCCTTTGAGCAATGGAAAGGGAGTTAGGTGGGAAAAAATAGGAGGATCTCTCACAGTCAAGAGCAATACTACCACTGTGGGACAGTTAATTCTGCAAATCAAATATGTAAGATACATAAAGAGCCTTTCCCCTCTCTATTCAGGGACATTTCTTCCACCCAACTGCAGGCCCTGCCTAGCTATGGACTGGGGTCCATCCAGACACTAATTGCCATGTCATCCTATTCTCTGAAAAAACTACCACCGAGAGAAAAATTTACCAATCTCCTGGATGCTACGCTAACTTACCCCAGCCACTGCTGTGCTTTTCTGAACTTCCCAGTAAAAGAGTAAGTAAAAAAACCCACACGGTAAGACCTACCAAGCTGTGTCAGAAATTCACAGATTGACCGACTGATGAGGGCCCCTGCCCCTTTGGCCCCTGCCTTCCCGGCCAGCCCCATAGCCACAGGGCCGCTTTCTGATAGACAAGAAGAAAATGAAGCGCCTGGCTCCCTTCTGGACACTGCTGCCAAAGAGTCAATTCGCCCTGCAGCCAGAGGGCCTGGGAGCCAACCCGGGCTAATTGAATTATAGCCTACTTTAGCAATGGCACAATGGAGAACAAAATTGGCATTGCAAAGATCAATCAGCACTAATCCCTACCGAGCAAAACCATTTTTAAACACACACAGGAGTGAGCTCTGGAGGCTAACATCATCCACTTTCATTTTAAAGAGACACAAACCACTGCAGAAATTTGGGAATTTTTTGGTAAGCTGTTTTCTCTTTTAGGTGATGGGCGTTTCAGAACACAGCCCAGCTCCCCCAGGACTGTATCTGCATGAAAGGGTATGAGGTCCTGGATGGCTTGTCCCCACTGGAGGCCACTGCACTGATTTGCTCCAATCCAGAATGAAACGGTGGGGTGCCAGGGTCTCCCTTCTCCCTTATAATGCTGTTTATCTAGACTTTTTTTTTTTCCTTCACCAAGGTGCACAGTAAGAAATAACCTTTGTTACATTGCAACCTAGCATTTAACGGAAATAGAACACATACTTTACTTTTAGGTGCTGTGCTCTGGTATTATCTTGTCTATTTTACTGTTTTCTTGCACTGTTTGTTTTTTGGGTTTTGTGGGTTGTTTTCATTTTTTATTTTTTT